ATGTCACACGTTTACTCAAGCAAATTAATTCGCATTTCATTGCGCTTTCTACTCACTTGATTTTCTACATCAAATAACAACCACTATTTCACCATTTCCTGCAGAATCCAACGCAAAGCGAATGTTGATCCGAATTCCATTAACCCATTTCAAATTCGAAAGCAAAACTATTTTGTAGTTCAACATTAAAACTGACATTCATAGCATGACAGCAAATCGAATAAATGGAAAACTAAAATTCCTCAGCCCCAACAACCACTCACACTACTTAGTTACCCAAACAAACGGCAAGTGTTGCAACAACCGTCCGTAAGTAAATACTTCCGTTAGAATGTTTGCCATTTATCTAAAATGTCACATAAATTAGCTAGCCGTCAATGCGCATTGTTTTACGACGGCGTTGAGGAAATTTAAGTAGATAACCAAGTTTTTCTTACTTTCCGCACAATTTTCGCTCTGCTGCTGCTGCTCTTCGACTTCGTCTTCGTCTTCGTTTGCGTTTCCTYCTACGTCGGCTGTCAAATGCATTTGCGTCTAAACTCTTACACCCCCAAAGCGTTGGCAGGGAAATGTAGCGTCATATCGAACATCGAAAACGTATTAGCCAGACACAAGGTGTTGCAAGGMAGGATAGCGCGCAGACATGGGAGGAAAGCGCTCAAGCGACGCTAGCTAACCCTTGTACAAGAGGCGTCAGTCTAAGCAATAAATGTCAGAAACTTAATCTGAAGGGAATACACATTTACTGTCGTTGTTGTTGTTGCGGTGCGGTGCAAAACTATTGGCAGCGCTTGATGTTGAGCAATACTCGTAAGTGTCTAATCGCAACAACAATTTGATGCCGGAGAAAGTGCATAAATATGCAAGTGTCTGTTGCTTGCAAGCGCACATATTTATGTACACAAATTTATACAAATTTCCTTATACATATATACATATAAGTTTGTATAGAATGTTGAAATGCTGCAAAGTCAGCCACTATTAGCATAATTTTTGTTGTTGTCATTGTTGTCTACCGTTGAATGTATGTTGTCATCGGCATACGGATATTTACTCTTTGCCAATGCTTGCTTGTATTTGTGTGTACTCATAGCACACATGAAGAATTCTACAGAGCTACTTATCCGCCTGTCTATTTTTCGGGTTGTTTGTCTTTCTCCAGGGACTAGGCATGTCGTTTCGCCACAAAATTATGGTCTCACTTCAAACGCATTTCTTGTACAACAACTGTCTGTATATACTATATATAAGTGTATATACATGCACATGTACATCTTATGTTTGTATTTACTTTGATGTATTTCAAGTGTTTTGGAAAGAAGTGGTGTCGAATTACTTTTAGGAGCTAACCATTTAAACACGGAAAAAATTGAATATTTATTATTTGCTTAAAAAATACAAACGGCACTGGAATTCTCTATTTAATTAAAAAATAAATGTAAATGAATGGTAGAATAGTCGTGTTCGATTCGCCATTTCGCTMATTTCTGCTATCTTTAGGCGCCGCTCTCATGCGAAAATGTATACGGTTGAAATAAGCAATCGGCTGCTCATTTCCAAAAATTTTCAATAAAGGGTGTTCCCATTCAAAGTTCCCTACCTATCTAAAGAAAAAACATAGAAACCTCAAATTTAATTTCGAATATTGATAATCATTTGAGTCCACTTTTCGATGACTCATTCGAGGATTTTGATCTGGTAAGTGGCGAATGACACGCATGTTTTTCTCCAAGGCCTGAATCGAAGTGAGGTTGTCCGCATAGACTTTAGATTTTACATAGCCCCACAAAACTGAGTCTAGCGCATCTAGTATGATATCACACGATCTTGGTGGCCAATCGACCGGACCAAAACTTGAAACTATCTGCTCAAGAAAGAGTTCTCCCAATCAATCTATTAATTAATGTGTGTGTGAAATGTGGCACCGACTTGTTCAAACTTAATGTTGTCGAGATCACGAGCTTCAATTTCAGGCATCGACTAATCGGTTATCAAATGCCAAATAATACTGAACAAAATTAACTTGACAGTTTGACCAGACTCAAGCGTGATCTCTCAGTGGGCGTAATCTTAATTGAGCACAATCKGTTCAGMMAGACCCTTWATTTAGTCAATAAGTAAATTGGCCCCCACCTTCATGTTAATGGAGTCTACTAAAAAGCTGTATACATAGGCTATAAATAAACCATTTCTATTTGATATTTTACTCTATTTCCCAAACAAGTTTTCGCTGTTGAAATAATTAACTTGAAAACTTTAATTATTCAAATCACAACAACATGATAAATACTTCAACACTTTCCTTTCCCGGTACAATTAAGAATTTGTAAGCGAATGAAATGTTTGTTTGTAAAATCAGCGAAAAACTTAGGCAGCGACTCACCCATTTGTAGTTGGGGCAAAAAACAACAAGTTAATGGCCTGTAATGTCGGCTAAGAAGTGATTTCCAAGTGCCCACATGCAAATTGTCACTTTTGTTGAAACAACTCCTTACCACACGCACTCACACACATTCAYAGAAATGTATATACAGACAACTTAAATTAATTAACTAATTCAATATTGAAATGGCTGGAGCGCCGGTAGGACGTACACGAGGGGGCGCTGGTGGCTGAGAATTCGTGTAGAACATGAAAAAACAATTTGTGCTCGCAAGTAGCGAGTCAAGTTCAGGACGATGGGACATTTTTGGTACAAGCTAATAGAGAAAAATTACTCTGCTGACTATTACTTTGTATATATGTGTGTGTGTATTTGTAAAACATCCCCAGAGTCAATGACACCCACATAACGCACACATATACACATGCACATGTAAAGAAACACGAACCCTGCCAAAGCCAAAGTAGCCAGTCGAGGGAATACAGCGCTGTGTAATTTTTGTGAATACAAATTTGTTCATAAATATTTATGCATGTGTGTGTGTGTGTGGCATGTCGTTAATATATTTTAACAGTAACTGTGTCATTAACACAGCCGCGTTGGTGATTTCACAAGTGTCACATATGCGCGCACAAAAGGATAACTCTGCAAATGGGTTCAGGGTCGACAGACAGTCGCTGGRGTATGAACAAAAACAGTCAAGCGGCCACTAAATCGGGGTGCTGCACAGCTGAGTGGGACTTGAGACTGAAGTTGCTGTCGAAATTGTTGAAATTGAATTCAAAACGTAGAATTCTTTTTCAAAAAAAAAAAAAAAAAAAAAAAAAAATATATATATATATATAGATCTATTCACGTCTGTGTGTCTGTAAGTGTAAATAACTGTTAATGAATTTTTAGACAAGTTTTTTTGGTTTTGCAAAGACACAAGAAAAACAGCTGCTGCAGCTAAGGGTTTTGTTTACAAACGTAATTGGCTTGTCAAACGCGTTTAAAATTTGGAAAAAGCTTGTGAGGGAAAAAGGTGACACCCTTTCCTTTTTTCTTTCAAAAAACAATAGAAAAAAAAGGATATAGGTTAGGTATAGTTGTCACCACAGTAGGGTTTGCTCCAAAATTGTGCAAAATTTCACAGCTAACTGTATTCTTGAATAAGTGGTCAATTGAAGGATTGCTTGCCTGACACATAGATGGCGCTACTAGAATTAAATCTATATTACTTTTGGTTACCTCTAACCTTTAAAAAGCGCGTGTATAAATTTATCAGCTGTYAGATTATTAGTTTGTGAATTATATCATTTTGAGTGAAGGAACTTTTATTAWTRTGAAATAAATGGACTCAAAGGATTTTGGCGTGTTGACAMACTATTGTTTTTGAAAAGGGAAATAATATAGTTGAAGTAAAAACTAGACTTTATAGTGAGTTGCCAGACATTGCGCCAAAAAAAAAAATTCGATCATCAAGAATTGGTATGCTAAGTTTAGACGCGCTGAAATGAGAATCGAAGRCGGTCAAAGCACTTGACGCTCAGAAAAGGTTGCTACCGAAAAAACATCAAAAACTCCACAAAATAGTTTTGGATGTCGATAAAGTGAAGTTGTTCGAGATAGCAGAKACTYTYAAGKTACCAACTGAATGAGTATATCTTATCATTCACGCATATTTGGGTATGAGAAAGCTCTGTGCAAAGTGTGTGCTGCGCGAGCTAACTTTTGATCAAAAACAACGATCAGTTGATGATCCGGAGCAGTTTTTGGAGATGTTCAAGCATAATAAACCGGAGTTTTTGCAACGATTTGTGACAATGAGTGAAACATGGCCTCCTCATTTCACACCGTAGTCCAATCGACAGTCATTCGAGTGGATTGCACACGATGAACTGTTAAAGAACGAAATCATCGAAAAGGGGCCGCATTTGTAGGAACAGAAAGTGTGCTTCACTAAGTGAGTGCACTGTTATCCAAGTCAGTAAAAACTGAAGCAAAAATACACGAACTGATCTTGAAATTGCTTTCCATCTGCGGTATTCTACAGATCTGACCTCTAGCGACTCTTTCCTCTTCTCAGATCTTAAAGGAATGCTCGCTGAAAGAAATTTTTGTTGAATGAAGAGGTAAATGCAGAAACTGGAGCCTATTTTAAAGTAAAGGACAAATCGCACTAGAAAAGTGATATCGAAAAGTTGAGAGGTCTTAATAACCAGTGTATCACCTTTGATGGGAACTATGTTGAATAAAAAAAAAAAACGAATTTTGCCAAAAAATGTTTTTTACTCTGGCAGGCCGAGGATTGTTCTTTTATGTATAATAAATAACAACTTTTTCAATATCGAGAGTAAATAAGTGGTTTGAAACTTTGCTAAAGGTTGCAAGCTTAGATCTTGATAGTTTAAGCTGCCAGAAAATGCAATATATGAAATTTTATATTTTCCAGTTCAACAGTGCCACTAAAATGCATAGCTWAAACTCACTTTTATTATATTAAAATATACTTCTAAGCTACTCAAATAGTCACTCAAAACTCTARAAATACTTAATTTTTTATTCTGGATTTGAAAATCTACATTAAATCATGATTTTAATCAAACTCACTTTCTTTTTTTGCAGAAACTTCATATTACGCTAGAGCTCAAACTTCCTCATTTCACTGTGCCGTGAGTTTAACACTCAAAATCTAACTCAACTAGTTACTCTAGTGACTCCGAATTGCGCGTGGAAAAACTGAAATTAATGCACACGAACGCGCACATACATTTTCGTGATATTTGAGAGCAAATCGTGAAATTAGTGTTGGAAAATGTGTAAAAAACGTGCGGCAGCAGCGTTTCTGCTGTTAGTGCTGACCATCATTGGCAGTTATACCACACAGGGYGAGCAACATCCAGCGACGGCGGATGAAGGTGAGTGCAAAAAATCATTTTTCTAACAAACATTTATTATTTACATTTTGGGGTTATGTTGTCATATATATTTTTATAGTAAAAAGTATAGYATTAACAGTTGTTAATAATTCTTTGTTTGTTTCGCGTTGCTTAGCCATTTTCACTCGCAGTGACGACTTTCTAGTTCTCAAATGGTTTATATATAATTTCGAAGACCTGCCAACACACTCACAGACTTTTAGCRTCTAATTTAAACGATTTTAAGCATTTCCGTTCGTCGTAATTCAGCATTTTTAGTACTGTATTGGTTTATTAGCTTGCAATCTGCGAGATTCAATCTTGAACTACGGCTGTGAACTTGTGATTGAGCTGCTTCAAAGTGAAATTCTTCGTATATTCGAATTCCCATGCTGTCACGAATTTGTCATAAAATTAATGAAATTGAAAACTTAATGTTTTGGAAATCAATTCTCTCTCATGCGGGCTTAGCTTGCATATACATATGCAGGTATGTATATGTGACCCCAAACAAATGTCTGTATGTGCTTATGCAAGTCACTGACAACCCACGCAGCGCCTTTCAGCAGCTCGCTCCCTCGACACTTTCTTCACGCAGCTTATTGAATTTCCACTAAACTCAAAGTGAGTTCGCTCTTTAAGTGATATCCCTCCAGCTTCATGGGTAAATAAATTTTCGAATTCTTCGAAGTTTTTCTCACAGCAACAGCAACATGCACTCCAACGCACGAGCACTTACATTACTCGAAATTTAATCCGACTAATAATTATAATATGCTGAAATATTCATAATTTCCGCTGTGTTCGACGAACATCGCGACGCTCGTTTTACATACACATTTGCATTGGAAAGTGCTTGCACTTATAAGAAATGAGATTTTCCGACMTACATACATACATATTTAAATATATGTGTAAATTCTCAAGCACTTGAGTACTTCAAGGGAGCTGCGCAGTGCAGGCATACAAGCTAATCCCCTGCCAGGCACGAAGATGCCAACGAAAATATGAAATTTTTTACTAATAAGCGAGGCAAGTGGCGGCAAAATCGCAGACTCTCCGAGTGTGCAGCGAACTGTCACGAGCAAGCGGTGGCTGCTGCGTGACGTGTGTAGGGAAAAATCAAAAAAATTTTATATTTTTACATATGTAAGTATGTAATGTGGCAACGGGGAAGGGGRGAAATCGTGCGCGCGCAACAAATCTACTAACAAAGTAATTGAATGTAATCGAAATTTAATCTTATTTAAGCGCATAATCACATAGTCATGTTATGGCAACAGCACTGAGCAACAACAACAACAACAACAAAAAGCAGCAATAGCCTGCAGTGGGTTGGAACGAATGTGTAACATAATGACGAATGTCATTATACGCATACGCACGCACAAACACGCGTATATGMTTGTATGTACATATATGTATGCATATGTGGTTGTGTGCCTGTGTTGCTTGCAACGACTCACGCRTAAATATGCCATAAACGAAAAGCGTTGGCACAAATCGATATTCTTAGCAATTTATTGGTACTTCGCCCTTCCGCTTCGTCAATAAAAACGAAACCAGCAAATAGGAAACGCTCATATAATTTCGATTTGACGATTTGCTGTGTGGGGAAGCGCTCGGCGGCGGAAGTGCGRGGTTATGCGGGTGACAAATGCGACTTACACACGACAGTAATCAACACTTTTCGCTGGCAAGTGTTGCAAGTGACGCTTAATGCTTGTGTGTGTCTTGATACATACATACATATATACATAAGTAAGCWTGTGATCGCATTATGTAAATATGTATGTGTGAGTATGGAGCGTAATGAATGTGACTTCGGCGGGAATTTATTGGAAACGCAAGCAGAGTTGAATGTGCAACGTAAAAATGCGGGTTTTTTTTATTTGAGTGACTTTGCCACATTTTTTTATACACTTGCAACATGTTGCTACAGCGTAATGCCAGTTGTGTTCATCTAACGGTTTCTTGTAGCAGTTAAAAATAACCGAGTTAGATATTGGATTGTATTTATATATATATACATACATGTATGTATGTATAAATGGTCAGCATGCTGAGACGAGTTGAAAGCCGAGTGAATGCTGCATTTCTGTTTGACTCCTTTCCTAAATTCKTATCGTTGGACTTGTTTTCGTTCGACCATATTTTACGGAGAAGCTGATGGATGCTGCTTATCAGTTCTTCGACACCCTCCCGGCCAGCTTGTCAAGCTCTGCCTACTCCCTTTTTTTGTCTCTCTCTCTTTTTTTTCTGCGAATACGTTTCGCTTTCCTTTTCAACTCCTGGTATCTATCCCAACCGGTACGTGTTGTGGTCGATCGTAACGTTGCGTGGTAGGCAGTCTGTTTTCACTCCACAGCGACGCGTCACTCCTCATCGTACCAGCTGTTGCTTTTACGAAAACCAATGATTTCGTTTACGGCTGCACGTAAGAGCTTGAAATGCCATCCCACRGTTCCCTTATACTGAGTTGCTGATGAGTGCGCTTAGAGAGCAGGAGTCAAGTCGAGTAGAAACCCGTGCGGTTGTCTGTTTCGATTGCAGCTTTCCGACGTCGAACTTTCCTTGTTTGTTGACATGGGAGTGCGTATTTTGGCTGCAACAATATAGTGATTCGAGTCAATGTTAGTAATTCTACCACAACATAAACGGTCTGGTTGGTAGCTTTTCGATCCGGAGACAGCCAGGTAGCTTGATGAATTCTCCTATGCTGGAATCTAGTACTGCAGATAACCACGTTTCGGTCCCCGGCGAAGTGCCTCAGCTTTAACCCTTTTGAAGTTTCACAAATTCCATTGGTKGCTTGCGTAGCATGCTTCCTCTTTTTGCAAAAAAAATTTTTAAAACATACCGAATTTCTTCATTATCTTCACTCATATTTGAACAGCTGTAACTTTTTTTTTTTAACTTCCCTGAATTTAATTTTTTTGGTTTAATGAAGCTTAAGATCTCACCTTTCCAACACTATATAGAATGGCACAAGSAAGTATGTAGCATTGGAGATATACGACTGAAACGACTTCTATTGACAAAATACGAAAAGACTTTTTCGACTACCAAATATTTGAAGTAATTTTATTATTAAAAGGAAAGATATTTGAAAATTTGTTAAAAAACAACAAAAACTCGGCATCCAGCTTAAAAAGCTCTGACATACAATTCCTGGGACACATAATTAGTTTCCATTTTAAATGGATCTCTCTTCTTTGCCTTTCGAAGCTGTCAACTCCAACTTTTGTTGATGTCAAGCGCACAAAAAGTAGACAAAAAAATCAATAACAACAATAAGGTAAAACAAACCAGCTGTGTGTGTCGCCAGTCAAACCGAACATGACGACAAATAAAGCGCGGCACACGTTGCCGAAGCCGCGTGCTTAGCTCGTTGGCGTAAAAACTTTTCGAAAACTTCACAACACAAATTTTAGTCGGAAATTCTAACGACCTTTGTCGAGCCAAGCTATTTGTTATTTAAACATTTTGTTTATTTTGTGCCATTGTGCGCGGTCGTTACTGTTATTTATATAATGGATATATGTATGTATCGCCCCTCAAGTGTTAATGTTTCAATTTCAATTTCAAACGGTATCTCCATCAAACACACAAACAAACTGAGAGCAATCCATTGGCGTATTTAACGCTTTGTTTGCCACTCCAAACACTCACACAACAACAGTGTGGAGTTCGGGTGCTCTATTTATTACCAGCGCACGCTTTTCGCGCAGCCGAGCAGCCCAGMAGCCGTTAGGCATACTGCCCCACCTTTCTTTGCCGCCTCACTTGCYTTACTTCTAATATCGCTATGTTTACACACCTATCACTTTTTTCCTTTGTTACTCCCAATTGGTGTTTGAGTGCTGGCATTCAAGTGCTCTTGTGCTGCATGAGTTGAGCACTCAACTCCAACTCACGCTCAGCACAAATGTAGCTGTATCGAAATTCGAAAATTATACAAATTCGYACTGCAAAAACAATAAGCGTAAACATAAATCCATCAAAAGCACTTCATCGTATGCCGTCAAGTGCGGTTTAGAAGGAGTTGGGTGTGTGTGTGCCTCATTTCAGCGCGTACTGAAGAGGAACGCGTGAGAGGGGTCTCTTCTACGTATCTTATGGTTATTATTGAAGTGTTCTTAAGAGCTACAATGCTAATTAAATGTGATAGATATGTGAAAGAAGAAATATGAGAACTCATTTCAGTCCATAAAAATTCGTATAATTGAATATTGGGTATATTGGATAGTATACATACCTATAAGGCGCTTTTTTCAGCTAAAAGCTGTATTTGATAGCCATTTTGGAGAGCTCACGTGGGTGGCATTTAGATGCCAGTTATAAATTAATGAAAACAGTAAAAACAGCTGCTTTTCTGACGYCACACTAGCGAGCTTTTAAAAATAAAGTATTTTTGAAAATTCTTATTCGCACGCAATGGAAGAGACTGCGGGAACATATTGGAAATACTAACTAACTAACATCCCAAAGGAGCCTCTTGTACCTAGCAACTGAATTCCATGTGGTATCCCAAAAGACCAAAACTGGTCTTTGCGTGGCTTATTGGCCTACCAGTTTAGCCTAACCTGATTTTGAATAAATACACCAAATTTTTTAATATTGCTTTTCTCATATAGCCGTGTTATCTGGCTTTGAAACAGTGGCTTCTTCGTTGTATTTGCTTCGACACAGCGCCAGAAAAGGGGCTAAATTGCGACAGGACTTTCAACAATTATGTAAAAGGGTTAAGCGTTGCATTTTTTATAGATTTTTGCCTGCCATTGCTACTGAATTTTATTTTTATAGTATTTCTGAGCTTT